GGCAGGTGCGGCAGGTGTCCTCAATCAGTGCGTCAGGTGTCCTCAATCAGTGCGTCAGGTGTCCTCAATCAGTGCGTCAGGTGTCCTCAATCAGTGCGGCAGGTGTCCTCAATCAGTGCGGCAGGTGTCCTCAATCAGTGCGGCACAAGCAGAGGAGGAACATTAAAGGGCCACAGGAGACCTTAAAGCAGGGGTCGTCACATGACCGTGCTGTAGTTCCTTTATAGCCTAATGTATGAAATAATAGAAAAGCTTCTCTGTGTGGCTACCAAGCGTTTCAATTTCATTTTTTGCAACAGAGACATTTCTGAGTCCAGGTTGTCGGCTCAGCTGATCCATGACTAATGCTGCAGATTACTGACAATCCTGCACAGCCACACTTCAGATAAAACAACATTCAAACAGTTTGTCGCCGCACAAACAAATGTTTGCAGCAGTGTGCGTCACTCATTAGTGTCCCCTGGTCTCCCAGCTGTGTGCGTCACTCTTTAGTGTCCCCTGGTCTCACAGCTGTGTGCGTCACTCATTAGTGTCCCCTGGTCTCCCAGCTGTGTGCGTCACTCTTTAGTGTCCCCTGGTCTCCCAGTTGTGTGCGTCACTCTATAGTGTCCCCTGGTCTCCAAGCTGTGTGCGTCACTCTTTAGTGTCCCCTGGTCTCCCAGCTGTGTGCGTCACTCTTTAGTGTCCCCTGGTCTCCCAGCTGTGTGCGTCACTCTTTAGTGTCCCCTGGTCTCCCAGCTGTGTGCGTCACTCTATAGTGTCCCCTGGTCTCCCAGCTGTGTGCGTCACTCTTTAGTGTCCCCTGATCTCCCAGCTGTGTGCGTCACTCTTTAGTGTCCCCTGGTCTCCAGCTGTGTGCGTCACTCTTTAGTGTCCCCTGGTCTCCAGCTGTGTGCGTCACTCTTTAGTGTCCCCTGGTCTCCCAGCTGTGTGCGTCACTCTTTAGTGTCCCCTGGTCTCCCAGCTGTGTGCGTCACTCTTTAGTGTCCCCTGGTCTCCCAGCTCTGTGCGTCACTCTTTAGTGTCCCCTGGTCTCCCAGCTCTGTGCGTCACTCTTTAGTGTCCCCTGGTCTCCCAGCTCTGTGCGTCACTCTTTAGTGTCCCCTGGTCTCCCAGCTGTGTGCGTCACTCCTTAGTGTCCCCTGGTCTCCCAGCTGTGTGCGTCACTCTTAGTGTCCCCTGGTCTCCCAGCTGTGTGCGTCACTCTTTAGTGTCCCCTGGTCTCCCAGCTGTGTGCGTCACTCCTTAGTGTCCCCTGGTCTCCCAGCTGTGTGCGTCACTCCTTAGTGTCCCCTGGTCTCCCAGCTCTGTGCGTCACTCTTTAGTGTCCCCTGGTCTCCCAGCTGTGTGCGTCACTCCTTAGTGTCCCCTGGTCTCCCAGCTGTGTGCCTCACTCTTTAGTGTCCCCTGGTCTCCAGCTGTGTGCGTCACTCTGTAGTGTCCCCTGGTCTCCCAGCTGTGTGCATCACTCTGTAGTGTCCCCTGGTCTCCCAGCTGTGTGCCTCACTCTTTAGTGTCCCCTGGTCTCCAGCTGTGTGCCTCACTCTTTAGTGTCCCCTGGTCTCCAGCTGTGTGCGTCACTCTTTAGTGTCCCCTGGTCTCCAGCTGTGTGCGTCACTCTTTAGTGTCCCCTGGTCTCCCAGCTCTGTGCGTCACTCTTTAGTGTCCCCTGGTCTCCCAGCTGTGTGCGTCACTCTTTAGTGTCCCCTGGTCTCCCAGCTGTGTGCGTCACTCTTTAGTGTCCCCTGGTCTCCCAGCTGTGTGCCTCACTCTTTAGTGTCCCCTGGTCTCCAGCTGTGTGCATCACTCTGTAGTGTCCCCTGGTCTCCCAGCTGTGTGCCTCACTCTTTAGTGTCCCCTGGTCTCCAGCTGTGTGCCTCACTCTTTAGTGTCCCCTGGTCTCCAGCTGTGTGCCTCACTCTTTAGTGTCCCCTGGTCTCCAGCTGTGTGCGTCACTCTTTAGTGTCCCCTGGTCTCCAGCTGCGCATGTCTCCTCAAGTCGCTGAATGTTCTCTAAAAGCTGCATGTGTTGCTGGAGATGTTTCTTCATGAGGAACATTTGGGTTTTTTATCTGCATCCTTTCTGAAGCTGCTTCTCATTTATTATCTGATGATCTACTTCCTCCTGCACTTCTCTCTGTCTGCTCCCTCTCTCCACAGAAGAAGGTATCTGAACACCTCCGCAGAGCGATGACTCAGAGCAAAGAAACATTTATCTTAAACGTCTCTTTAGTGCTTTCCTCTCGTCCGCCCACAGTTGAAGTGTTGAGAGGTATTTCAGGGTCGCTGTGTGTGTGTGTGTGTGTGTGTGTGTGTGTGTGTGTGTGTGTGTGTGTGTGTGTGTGTGTGTGTGTGTGTGTGTGTGTGTGTGTGTGTGTGTGTGTATGTGTGTGTGTGTGTGTGTGTGACACTGAGTACCATCCCAGTGTTACTGAATGAAAGTGACGCACAAAGTGTGTGTGCTGAAATACACTCTCAAACAAAAGGAACTGTCTCTGAAAGCAGCTTGATATTTAACACACATTTTATACACAATTCTTTCCTGATGTATTTGGCAAAAATATTTTCCATTCCATAAATTCCTACCTCTCATGTCTTATCTTTATAAAGACTTTTAGAAGATTCATTTTAAGCCTTATTTTAGATTAATGGATGAAAGACTTTAATGATTTGCACTGTATGCAACACCTCGTAAAAAGAAGACGTTTTTATAAAAATAAAATATAATGCATTAAATGTGTTTTATATTTTGTAATCACTTATAAAAACGTAATGTCCTCTGATGATAGAGATCAGACAGGAGCTAATGAGCCAAACACACACACACACACATACACACACACACACACACACACACACACACAACACACACACACACACACACACACATACACACACACACACACACACACACACAAACACACACACACATATACACACATATATACATACACACACAAACACACACACAAACACACACACATATACGCACACACACAAACACACACACACACACAAACACACACACACACATATACGCACACACACAAACACACACACATATACGCACACACACAAACACACACACACACACACGCACACACACACACACACACATATACGCACACATACAAACACACACACATACCGTACACATGTACACAAACACACACACACTCACAAAAAACTCTGAGAAACAAACTTCCAGATACAAACACACACAACCACCACCACAGGGAGGCCAAACACCACAGTGCTGAGACACACACACACACAAACAAACACACACACACACACACACACACACACACACACACACACACACACACACACACACACACACACACACACACACACACACCGTGCCAAATGTCCTTGAAATCTTAAAGTTGCTGATCTGAGAGTTACAGACGTCTGAGACAATGTTTCTGTTTCTCTCACACACTCCGTCTGTGTGTCCTGTGTGCGGCCGCCAAGAGTGTGTGTGTGTGTGTGTGTGTGTGTGTGTGTGTGTGTGTGTGTGTGTGTGTGTGTGTGTGTTCTGGCTCTACAGAGACTTCCTCAGTGGAACGGAGAACAAAGAGAGAGCCTCTTAATGAGCTCTGCCACTGCTGAGACCAAACTAGGCCAGTGTGTGTGTGTGTGTGTGTGTGTGTGTGTGTGTGTGTGTGTGTGTGTGTGTGTGTGTGTGTGTAAGCCAGGTGACTGAAAGCACAGCAGCTCTGCAGGACTGCTTCAGTTTGTTCTGTTCAGATTCCCACAGATCATTTTTAATATGAACAGAAACACGAGTCTTTCTGTCAGATTTAACTCGGACTCAGTTAAAAAAAAACTTGTAGAACAGTCCTTCGGCGGCACTCGATGACGTAGCATCCTTGAAATATTGGCTTGGAAGCCAATATCCTCGCGATTGAGAAACGGCCACTATTACAGAGAGGAGGTAGAAAACCTGACATCTCGGTGCCAGGATAACAACCTCCATCTCAACGTCAGCAAAGGTGCTCCGTAGAGAGCATCCTGACCTTCTACAGGTGCACCATAGAGAGCATCCTGACCTTCTACAGGTGCACCATAGAGAGCATCCTGACCTTCTACAGGTGCACCATAGAGAGGATCCTGACCTTCTACAGGTGCACCATAGAGAGGATCCTGACCTTCTGCAGGTGCACCATAGAGAGCATCCTGACCTTCTACAGGTGCACCATAGAGAGCATCCTGACCTTCTACAGGTGCACCATAGAGAGCATCCTGACCTTCTACAGGTGCACCATAGAGAGGATCCTGACCTTCTCTTCTACAGGTGCACCATAGAGAGCATCCTGACCTTCTACAGGTGCACCATAGAGAGCATCCTGACCTTCTACAGGTGCACCAGAGAGGATCCTGACCTTCTACAGGTGCACCATAGAGAGTATCCTGACCTTCTACAGGTGCACCATAGAGAGCATCCTGACCTTCTACAGGTGCACCATAGAGAGGATCCTGACCTTCTACAGGTGCACCATAGAGAGCATCCTGACCTTCTACAGGTGCACCATAGAGAGGATCCTGACCTTCTACAGGTGCACGATAGAGAGCATCCTGACCTTCTACAGGTGCACCATAGAGAGCATCCTGACCTTCTACAGGTGCACCATAGAGAGCATCCTGACCTTCTACAGGTGCACCATAGAGAGTATCCTCACTGGCAGCATGACGGCCTGGTACGGCAGCTGCACCGCCCTCAATCGTAAGGCTTTACAGAGGGTGGTGAAAACTGCACAGCACATCACCAGGACGGAGCTGCCATCCATGGAGGACCTTTACTCCCAGCGGCTCAGGAAGAAGGCCCTCAGGATTATCAAAGACCCCCATCACCCCAGCCACAAACTGTTCTGTCTGCTGCCGTCTGGCAGGCGGTACCGCAGCATCCGGACTAAAACCACCAGACTCAGGGACAGTATGTAGTAAAATATATTCAATATTAAATGAAATCAAATGTATGTAGCACGTCAGCTTACCCTCCGTGAGCCCCATGTGGATGCTCCAGTAGTTCTGAAGGCACTGCAGCTCCTTCTTCATGCCCCTCTTGCAGCGACAGTCGTACAGCGTGGAGTCCCTCAGGACCTCCAGCGCCCCGCGGCACTCTCTGGACGCCAGCATGGTACTGCGCTCGCGGCCCCCCCCCCGACAGGCACTGGCGCATGATGCGGAACTGAGAGCTGCACTGGGGCTTCTGGTTGCACAGCTCCGAGGCCCGCACACAGTCCAGAGGCTCCGCCCAGCCGGGGGGGGCGGGGTCACACACACACACACCTGCAACAACACAGAGATACAGTAAACACACACACACCTGCAACAACACAGAGATACACACACACACACACCTGCAACAACACAGAGATACACACACACACACACACACACACACACACACACACACACACACACACACACACACACACACACACACACACACACACACACACACACACACACACACACACACACACCTACAACAACACAAGAGGGTAGAATTGTCAAATGTACATAAAAATTATAAAAATATATATTATAATTAAAGATATATGAAATACAAAAACATATATATAATATAAGATATAAAAATAAGATATACATTATAACAAATACAAGAAAATATATATAGAAAGAGACAAAAAAACAAAATAAATAAAATATCTGTAGAGATAAAGAACCAACGTAAGGTTGAGAGCACTGTAATAGATGCGACTACATTAACTATAAATACAGGATATGTACATGTAGGACGTCTGCTAGAGAGAAACCTCTCTGGGACCCCTAACCCTCTTTATCTCCACCAGAGAAACACCACGGCTTTAACTCTCAGACAAACCAAGTCACACATCCGGTCACTCAGAGGACAAAATATACAAACTGCTTTTTTTAAACCGAAGTCTAATCAATGCTTTATCAGCCAAGAGGAAACGTCTGGCTGATTTCAGTGTGTGTTACCATACTTGGGTCTATTGTGACTTTCTTCGGCCAAAATCCCACTTTGAGACATGTATAGAGTAACCATGGAACACAAATGAACTACAAGAAGAAGAAAAACATTGCAAAGCGACAGAGAAATGACCAAAAGTAGACATAATATGACCAGAAATGTGACATCACAGCCAAATAGAGATGTGAAATAAACAAAAAGAGGGGGAACACGTCGAAAAACAACGTTAAAAAACCAAAGAGACATAAAATGACAAAAGATGTGTGAAATGGCCCAAAAGAGACATTAATGGCCAAAAAGACATAAAATGACCAATAACAGAAGAAAATGACCAATAGGAGATGGTAATGACCAATAGGAGATGGTGATGACCAATAGGAGATGTTAATGACCAATAGGAGATGGTGATGACCAATAGGAGATGGTAATGACCAATAGGAGATGGTGATGACCAATAGGAGATGTTAATGACCAATAGGAGATGTTAATGACCAATAGGAGATGGTAATGACCAATAGGAGATGGTGATGACCAATAGGAGATGTTAATGACCAATAGGAGATGGTGATGACCAATAGGAGATGTTAATGACCAATAGGAGATGTTAATGACCAATAGGAGATGTTAATGACCAATAGGAGATGTTAATGACCAATAGGAGATGGTGATGACCAATAGGAGATGTTAATGACCAATAGGAGATGTTAATGACCAATAGGAGATGTTAATGACCAATAGGAGATGTTAATGACCAATAGGAGATGGTAATGACCAATAGGAGATGTTAATGACCAATAGGAGATGTTAATGACCAATAGGAGATGTTAATGACCAATAGGAGATGTTAATGACCAATAGGAGATGGTGATGACCAATAGGAGATGTTAATGACCAATAGGAGATGTTAATGACCAATAGGAGATGTTAATGACCAATAGGAGATGGTGATGACCAATAGGAGATGGTGATGACCAATAGGAGATGGTAATGACCAATAGGAGATGGTGATGACCAATAGGAGATGGTAATGTGACGTAAAAGGACTGAAATCAGATCTAAAAGGACCACATCTCTGAGTGAACAGCAAAAGAGACCCTTACCACCACCAAGAGATGCAAAGGCCCAAATAAGGACCCAAAATTAACAAAAGAAAGGCGTAAAACGACTTCCAAGAGATTCAACATTTCTTTCAAAGGGACGCAAATGGACCTAAAAGCAACATAAAACTAGCTAAATTTGACTCAAAACGACTACAAAAAGCCACAAAATCACGTATAATAAGAACATGAAGTACAAGCAGCTCTTCCAAAGTAAAAAAAACGGAAATGTTTTAGGCTCATTTTTGTTTCCTGTGTTCTTGGCTGCATCTCAGGTCGATTAAATGGATTCCTTGCGTCCCTCACTTGCGTCGTTTCCCTGCGACTAGTCCCTCCCGCCAGGAAGCATGGAGAGACGCAAGGAAACCACGAGAAGCAGGGAAATGAGTTTTAAGAGCAATGGGACGTCCTTTCCTCCGTAGCGTCACGTGAAGCGACGTCCGTTTGTGATGACGCTGCACAGCTGATCGTCTGACAGCAGCTCTGTCCCCGTTATTTTCACAAACACCCCCGCCTCTGTTAGTACACATTTACTGACATAAACATGTGTATCATCTGTTGTAGACCCAAATACATTAAAATAAGAACTCATTCTCAAAAAAGATAAACGCCATTCTTAAAATGTAAAACGAAAAAAGCGATCATGAAAATGTTTCCAATAAATGAATAAAATGATCTTTGACCACTTAGTTGTTCAGATATATCACATATTTGTAACTGAATGATGCATTCATTGAAACAGAACACGGTATGAACTGAGGAGTGAGTCCCGTGAGTTTCATGTGTTTTCTTCACTCCGCTGGGAAACTGCTCTCATGTCAAGAAGCATCAGATCAGTGCATGCGCTGCATCGTCCAATCAGTGAGCGATACACAGTAAGGGGGCGGGGCGAGTGTCTGAGGATTTCACCGGAGGATGGTCTGGTGGTTCTTCGGTTATCGCTCCTCCATTATCGCTCCTCCATTATCGCTCCTCGCTCCTCCGGCAGAAATAAGCGCCATGGGACGCTACTCAAGATGGCGCAGACAAATCAACTTCCGGTGAGACCGAGGACCGAGGACCGAGGAAATGAAAATAGTCGACCTGAGACGCAGCCTTACTCACCAGACTCTGCTCTGTCTCTATGGGAGGGGAAAACCAAACACTTCCTGCTTTGTGTGACATCATCGATGATGTCATGGGTTGAACCAATTAAAGGGGCAGGGGGGTGGGGGGTGGGACACACAGGTGAAAGGGACAACTAATAGATGAAATGACTAATAGATCAGAGTGAGACTTTTAGAATAGTTGGAAGTTCCTCTCAGTTGTTCTTTATCTGAATCGACGCTGACCGGAGGCAAATGAGTATTTATTTTATATTTCTATTTAATACTGAACAAATAGAGGATTTGAATCTCCCTGTTATACATTTGATGAGTTTCTATTTATGATCTGAAGTCTCAGAGTGAAGTAAACCTCTTAGTTAGGCTCGCCTCTGGTTTCAGGACCACGGACAGCACCACCGCCTCAACAGACACTATTATTTATTCACTTTTTTCAGGACAAAATAACAAAAGAAAAAACCACTTTACAGGAGTCTAGAGTACTTTCACTCAAGTACTGTAGTTGTCTTAAGTTTGAGGTACTTGTACTGAGCGTTTACGTACCTCATACGCACAAATAATGTACTTTATTATATGTACTGTGTTCACATTGTAGATGAAGTTACTACAAATAAAACCCATGGTGATGGAATAAAATACTTTGCATGTACATGTACATGTACACATATACATATATACAAGCCTGGTCAATGAAAATACATTGAAATACAGAAGATGTATGTATTTGTATTAATGTCATTATTTGTTTTCTGTCCACTAGAGGGCAGTGATGGGTTTATTTCTTAATTGCAAAAATATCCTCACCTGTAAAAGAATATAAGAAATGAAAGTCTGTTCCAGGTTTTGTAAAGAAATACATTTATAATAATTATTATGAATATAAGAAGAAATCTCATATATTAGTATTGTACTGTAATACAGCTCCATGCATCTTAATAATAATAATAATAATAA